CGGGTTCGGATCCTATATAGGGATGGCCGGTTTGCTCACTGGGTGAGCGTGGTGCTGACAGATTGTGGGGAATTTATTAGGCCATGTCTGCTAGTGGAGAATTACAGGAAAAAGTCAGTGCACCTGGTATTACTCACTCTCTTCAGACCCTTTCTCCAGTGCAAAGTCAGATTTGGGTACTGCAATAGATGAAACAGAGCAAGAACCACAAAAGTCCAAACCTATCTAGTTTAGGAAAATGAGAAACTCCAAATGCTCCTGCCCAGTTTGCCAGAGATCTCTACACTGAAGTTTCAGGTACTAGTCAAGAATCAAGTGTCATTCTGCTTTCCTTTGCCATTGTTCTTGTGAAAATACATCAGTCTAAAACCCAGTGAGGAAAAGGTACAGATATGAGTAGGATGGCACTGATTTCTGAAATTCTAGACAGCTCTAGCCAGAATATCATTTTTAAATCTAATAGCAGTCCAAATCCCAAAATAATTTCTAAAAGTTAAGTTATAATCAACAACCTTAAACTTTATTAAAATCTTATGTAACAACATTCTACCCATCAGGTTCTAAAACTTCCCACATGTCTACCTTCTTCTGGAGCAATCATTCTGGTTTCCTTAAACAGAATCCTCCTACACTGCTTCTAAGGATAGTCTTTACTTTTTTAATACTTCCCTTATGTAAATGTCAGGTTGATTTCCTGATTGTAAAATATGGTAGTTTGGCACATAAAAAATTCAACAGAAAGCCCCCAGTAAAGAAACTGAAAATGATCATGTTATCTTTGGGGGCTTCTGAATAGAAGTGATTACTCTTCACTTCGTTATAAGAAATACAGTAAAGCATCACTTTAATACTAACATCACAATATGTTTTAAGCTTTTTAAGAAATAATGCAAAAGGTACTAACTACACAGGCAGAACTCTAGCCCCAGTTGGAGAGCTCAGTGAGGCTCCTGGGCAGACAGGGGACAATATGAGGACACCGGTTACCCAAGAGGTGTGGGAGAAAGATGGAAAAAGGATAAGAAGAGATTAACTCTTCTTTCTACATTACAGCTCTCCTCATTCATGACAATGAGATATGAATGTTATATACTATAACCAAATACCAAGGAAAGCGAAGAGTCAAATGGAAAATATTACTGTATCTGCTTATATGAGAAACTTAAATTTCTATGAAAAATGCTACTCCAGCCATAAAGAAAAACCCTGAGAACAGCACTGGACTATTTTTTAAAAGCCACTCTTTGCAAAACTCCACAACTACTTCTAAAACATTTCTTATTTGGGATATCAGCCTGAAACTGATCCCCACTCACAGCTTCCTATATTTCAAGTAAGTGTATTTCCACTAAGAAGGATGCAGTTCTATTCTATTAAAATGTTG